ATTTAATACTAAATTAATATTTAATTTCATCACATTCAAATTCAATTTCATCAAAATTAATATTTTAAAATTTAACTTTGTCAAATTAACATTTAATTTATTTAATTTAGAATTTAGTTTCATCAAATTAACATCAAATTGAGCTTCAATTTCATCAAATTGACATTTAATTTCATTAATTCAAATATTAATTTCATCACACTAACATTAATTTCATTAATTTAATACAAAATTAATATTTTATTTTATTAAGTTAATATTTTAATTTTTAATTTTTCAAATTTAATATTACTTTGATGTTAAATAGATAAAATTAGTGTTCGTGTGATAAAATTAATATTCAAATTAATAAAATTAAATGTAAATTTGATGAAATTAAGATTTAATTTGATGTTGATTTGATAAAATTAAATTAGAAAAAATAAATTTTAAAATATTAATTTGATTAAATTAAATATTAATATGGTATTTAATTAATGAGATTAGTGTTAGTGTAATAAAATTAATATTTGAATTAATAAAATTAGATATCAATTTGATGAAATTAGAGAGTGTGTAGGTTAATTGAGAAACCGTAAGGGGTTAAAGAGTAAACAAAAAAAATCAATAGAGTTGAAGTCTTGAAGAGTAATTCAATAAAATTATAATCTATATTTAGTTATTTAACCGACATAATCTCATAGAGGTGACAATAATATTTCAAAAATTATTGAAGGTGTCTTTGCAATTAGGTCAATCTCGACCATGGTCGGTGAAATTTACTCATTATAGAATACAGCCGGGCGTGTTGGGCACTAATTATTATTTTTTACGCAAACGAAATAATGTATGCACTAGCCAACAAGATTTGACAAGTAAGCGCAGCCCTGGACGCTAATGGGCATACTTTATTTGTTTGGTGCTTCAAAATGGATACAACTTCTGTAAGAGGTAGAAATTACTACGGATCTCATCTCTCCACTTGAAGGATTTTAGTTGATTTGGCGGCACCGAACCCCAGTAGCGGATACGTCCTCCATAGAAAGTGTTCACTTATATGGCAGGGGGGAAGACGACTCTCTTCTGATGTGGGATTGCCTTAGGAAATGATCCTATTGGCGAAGAGAGGTAAAGACTACTGGGGCTCGGTGCCGCCAGGTCAGCCGGAGTCTTTCAAGTGGAGGGATGAGATCCGTAGCGATTTCTACCCCTTACAACTTCATTCTTTGTTATATCTCTGACCTTTTAACTTAAATATTTCATTTACGACTAAGTAGGATGATGTAGTGGGTTATCGATTTTACTCATCATTTTAAGATTTGGTATTTGAGTCTTGGAGTGTTTATTCAGATTTGGTGGTTAGCCGCTATGCTAGCCTAATTAGGTCTGGTCTTGAGAGGTGTTTCAGACACGGTCAGGGGCTTTATGATCCCACCCGTGAGGGCCTATGGGAGTAGTCGTTGGACACACTTCTTTGCCCTCACCCCTTTTTTTCATAAGCCAAAAAAAAAAAAAAAACTTAATATTCCATGTGCATCGGTTATAGTTAGAGGTCTCATAATCCTATCAATGATCACTTATCAGAATAGTCTTAAGACGCTCTCCTTTCTGCCCATTTTATTTTTCAATAGCCAAAAAATAAAAAAAAAAATTAATATCAGAAGAATTATATCAGGTCACTTGTTCTGACTTGAAAAAGTATGGTCAATGGTGTCATTGGGTCCTTGGATCGTATTTGAACTAAGAAGCTTACATGAAACCAAACACAAACACCTCCCCCCACCCTTTGGAAAAGAAAATATTGAGCGCAACCATTATGTCAAATTAATAGTATTACGTGGTGTAACGATTCAATAATAGGTAAATAAGTCAGTAAATGGACCTCATTAAAACTAATAGCTACCTAGTCGTATAATACATAACCAATATCATCATAGAAAGTGTGCCCTATTTTATTATTTTTGCTCTTTTCTTACTGGATCACAGCAACATTGTTTGTTTAAAAATTATCATCGTCTTCCCTATATTTTTAGAATAATTTATTGTTAATGTCTACCTTTTTAAAATATTCAATGATTTAATATTTAGTAACTATTTAGAATCTAATCATATAGAAGAGTGTCACTTATATTGACAAATACACTTATTGGATTATTTTGATGACCGTAGACAAAAAAAAAATATTTTAAAAAAAAAAAAATTAGGGATATAAATATGGTTTATATCAAAAGTAGTTTATTTACTTATAAAAATTTATCATTAACAATGACGGTCGAATAATCTCATTGAATTAATTTTTTGTTTATATTATTGTTAACCTTTTAAGATAAAATTTTGATTCCGTCCCTCATTTTATTAGAAGTTCTTGCCATTCTCAAATTGGTTTGTGCACAGCCCTCTTTATATTTTTGGTCTGGGTTTGTCCACAGGCCGAAATGAAGCTGGATTTGGTGAAAATGATATGTATACATTACAAACACCTGACTAAAAGGTGAAAAGGTTGATTTCAAAAAGTGGTATATGTTTCAAATCCGTGTTTCTCTCTCTCTCTCTCTCTCTCTATTTGAGGACGGTTTTAATGGTCAAAAACAGTGACTTTATATAATATAAGTCCAACTTGAATTTCTTTTCCTTCACCCAAACTCCTAAAGTCGTTCCTCTAGCTGGGACCCATGAGAGTCTGAAAAAATGACTGCTTTTAAGGGGGTAAATTATACTAATAGCTCCTGAAGTTTATCACTTATCACACTTTAATCCTTAAAATTTTAATTTCGTCAATTTCATTTTCAAAGTTCAAATATTGAGTCAATTTGGCCATTGTCACTACCTACCATCACAAAAATAGATAGAAAATACCATATGCACGTCAAGTTCAGGTTCTAAAAGGTATTTCTAGTAGTTTATAACAATCTATGCATCCAACCAATATTATTCTGTATCTAAACAAATATTAAACACGTGCCATGATTAGGCACGTGTTAGAAGAAATCACTTGACTTGCATGTGAGCAGGATCTAGAATGGAGCATCCAAACTGCTCATCAGTATTGCTTGTGCCAAAACCCGTGAGGATAGCTCAAACCAGCTGAGATATTTGAGGAAGAGGTTTCACCTTCCCTGCCACCCAAATTGAAAAGCAGCCATTGGAGCTCCAAAAGTAATAGAAGCTCGACTATAAAAAGTAAGGAGGTAACTTACCATCAGGTAAGTAATTACTCCCAATTGAATACACTTTTACAATCTAATTCTCTTTACTAACCTAATTATCAAAGGTCGATCGTCGGAGCCACCCTTCAGTCCTTGACTTTTGTGCAGGCAATCCGTAGGTGAGTGCCACCTCATCAAATACATTTCAAAGCTATTTTCAAGATCAATAATCAAAACCCAAATTAAAACCACAAAATTATAATTGAAATCAAAAGCACAACCGAAATCAAAATTGAAAATGCAATCGCCTCTGCTATTGATATTAAAATCAAAATCTATGTGGGAAAAGAGTGAGAGAAAGACGAAAAAGAGAAAAAGAGAGGCCATGAGATTGATGGTTGATGGGTTTTTGATTTAGATGATTTTTGGTGGTGGAGGTATGCTTGCGGCGTTGGTAATGGGCAAGAGAACCATGGGGAGGGTTGGGTTCAAGTGGGTTTCAACGATGGGAATGGGGAATCAGATCTAACCTGTTAGTCCATTATTGAGAGTTTAATTATTATTTTTTTATTGGTGAATAGAGATAAAGACTAAAGTCGGGTCAATGTGTTAACATGAATAACAAAATTGACAAAATTAGAATTTAAAGAACAAAAATGTAATAAGTGACAAACCTTAGAGACTAACGGTGTAATTTACCCTTTAAGAGCATTCACGATGTCATATGTTGATCGGGGATACAAAAACAGTCATATTTGAGTACTAGGGTTATTCTGTGTCTAAAAGTACGTTGTAATGTGAATGATTTTGAGAGAGATGTTGATAACCGTTAAATGAATCTATTCGAGACCATTAGATAGACTTATTGAAGTCTATCCTGTTTTATATTATATATTATTATTTAAACAAGGGTAAGACTATTATTATCAATACATGAGGGGTTGATATGTTATTTAGACAAAACTCAGGAAAGTAACTATAACCAACTCATTGAATAAAATTTAAATGAGTGATATTGTGGAGAAATAATTCCGGGGACTAAGGGCATATTGATCATTTAACAATCCAGGGGCATTTTGGGCATGCCACGTTTTCATCACATGATTCCCCTGCCTAAGGAGTTGATGCTTTTGAGATCCTTGTTTTTTCTCTCCGACTGTTTTCTTCCCACTTTCCTCTCTTCCCTTCCTTTTTCACGTTTTCTCACGGAAGAAAAATTTCTAATTAATTTTTTCTGGACAACAATTGGGATATTAAAGAATATTGTTAATTCTTTTGATTAAAGTCCTAACCATTCGTAAAACATCTCTAATTATGACTAAAATTTAAATAAAAAACTTTATTTAATACAATAAATTTTGATGGATAAATTCAAATTTAAAGTAGGAGAAATTTAAATTTAAATAAAAATAAATTTAAATTTTAAAGAGAATAAAAATGACTATTGAATATTTAAAAGATGTTAAAATCTCACTATTTATTTGAATGAAAAAATGAATATTTCTTAATTTTATATAAGTTTGATTCAAAAGTTAAAGTAAGTTTTTTTACTTAAATTTAAATTTGAGTATTTGTATCAGAATTAGACATCTTTTATACACCAAGATTTTTCATTCCATTTTCTTCCTTAATTTTCATTACAAATTCTGTCTTATTATTTTTTTTTTTGTCTTCGTCAGAATAAGGGTTTTGCTTCTTCACTGCGATATATATATAAAACTGATATTTGTATCTGATACCCAAAACCTGTCTCAGAAAGCAATCTTCTCCTCCTTACCTTATCCCTCTCTTCGTCTCTGTATCTCTCATGTTCTCGTAAAAACCAGAACTTTGTGTTTCTGTAGGTACTTGTAGAGATAGAGAGGGAGGTAAAAAATGCAAGCAGTTCTACGGACAAAAGGGCTTCTCTCTCTACCTTCAAACCCCAAACCCAGGGGTTTCAACCCACCACCACAGGGGCTCAGCCATAGATTCAGTCCCTTAAATCCCTTAAAACCCAAAAATCTTTCTGGGTTTTCATTATCTCTCGATGGTTGCCAAAAATTCCATGGCTTTGTCACCAAACCTCATGTCATTGGGCAAAAGAACAGGACTTTTCATATATGCAAGGCTAAGGCTGCAGCAGCAGCTGATGGACAGCCTGTATTTGGAGAAATTGAGTCACCCAAGTTCATGGGCATTGAAATTACAACCCTCAAGAAGATTATACCACTTGGGTTGATGTTCTTTTGTATACTCTTCAATTACACAATTCTTAGAGACACCAAAGATGTATTGGTTGTTACAGCTAAAGGGTCAAGTGCTGAGATTATACCCTTCTTGAAAACTTGGGTCAATTTGCCTATGGCTATTGGGTTTATGCTGCTGTATACAAAATTGGCTAATGTGTTGTCAAAGCAGGCTCTTTTCTATACTGTTATTGTACCCTTTATTGGCTTTTTTGGGGCATTTGGTTTTGTTTTGTATCCTCTCAGCAATTATTTCCACCCCACGGCTCTTGCTGATAAGCTTCTAGCCATGCTTGGTCCTAGATTCCTTGGCCCGCTTGCAATCATGAGGATCTGGAGTTTCTGTTTGTTCTATGTCATGGCTGAGCTTTGGGGTAGCGTGGTTGTATCAGTGCTATTTTGGGGACTTGCTAATCAGGTGATAGTCTTATCAGCTAAAGTATTAGTTTTAATTTGATCTGTCTGTGTGATTCTTAAAATTTATATTCGATTCCTTAGTTCTTTGATCTATGTCAGGAGATTCTTAGTGTTTTCCCTTATTTCATATGGTTTAAAAGCTATGGTATATCCATAATTTGATCCGATTTACTGATTTTAGTATTTATATATGTATGCCTTTTCCTGAATTGCTCACTCTATTTATGACTTTGGTAACTTCATAACATTTATTTGCTTCTTATTCTTGAATGTAAAAATGTTGTATATGAACTTTCAAACAGGATGGAAAGTTTAACTTCATCACTGTGTATAGATCGTAAAGAAATTAGATTAAAAATAGATGTTTTAAGAATTCTATCCTCAAGAAAGAGGACAATAGTGGTATGTTGAAAAGTATGACGCCGTTGGTGGAGGGTTTTTTTTACTATTAATTATGTCTTCTACTGTGTTTTTTGTCTGTGCTATTTAATATTACCGCAAACCCTTTGGGATGTCATCTCTAATACTTGGAGATAATGTTTACAAACATTGTTTGAAGTGATGCTTTTGTGATTTACACAGTTTTTTTTCGCAAGGTAGTGAGTTACGCATTTTGTTCTTTGATTATGGTGCAAGAACATGTATACGAGCAGTACTGTCACTGTGGCATAGAGTCGTAGAGATACATGAACATTTGATGAGACTGATTTTGTTCTTTGCATAACTGGTGAGAATGCCTTTGGGTGTCATCGTGGTAAAATTAGTTTTAGTTAAACAAATTTGGGACACTTTTGTTTTGATTAGGAGACTATGTGAATCTTGTATCATCAACCAAGTGCAGGTAAATTTTCCTATTCGTCAGGATCTTACATTCTTTCATTTCAGATAATTGTCTTACAAATTGTTAGATTCCTAATTCTTGTTTTGCCTCCATCATCATCTTGACAACCACATGGGACGAATTGTGGAGGCCTTTACATGTTTTAGCTATACAGTTTTTCTCACTGTTGAAGTTTTGTGAGAGATTCTTCGACTCCGTTAGATTCTTGGTCTGAAGACTTTGAACATGCACTTCCCTGATTTTTTTTAGTCTATTGTTTTGTGTGGAACTGCTAATTAGCTGTCATTATATGCTCTCTGTTGCAGATAACTACAGTTGAGGAAGCCAAAAGATTCTATCCTCTGTTTGGACTTGGAGCTAATGTTGCCCTCATTTTCTCTGGTCGTACTGTAAAGTACTTTTCTAATATGAGGAAAAATTTGGGTCCTGTGGTGTTGATGGGGCCATATCCCTGAAAGCTATGATGAGCATTGTGGTGCTTATGGGGCTCACAATATGTGCTCTTTATTGGTGGGTGAATCAGAATGCCCCTCTTCCAACTCGTAGTAGAAGAAGAAGAAGGTAAGCTGCTCTGAGGATATGCTGTCTCTTGCTTATTGTAACTCAACTCTTAAACTGACTTTAGTTTCAATGGCAGTCCATTCTTTGGTTATGAGGAAGCCAGAAATTGTAACTTTAGTGCCCAGAAATATCAGTTCTAATGGAAAAAAAAACAATCTTTCACTAACCTTTTTCTATTGTCCATGAGTCAAGCTGACTTAATCCTATCATCCCACTGCATCAAGGAAATTCTAATCGTAATATGATGGTTGGCGTAACAGAACATTTATGCTTTGGCAGGAAAAACCAAAAATGGGGACAATGGAGAGCTTGAAATTCTTGGTGTCTAAAAGATACATCAGGGATCTTGCCACTTTGGTGGTAGCATATGGTATTAGCATCAACCTTGTTGAGGTTACATGGAAATCGAAGCTCAAAGCTCAGGTAAAACTAAATTAAGCCTATGCATTCTACAATTTATTCTGCTCCCAGTTTTTTTGTTAATTTCTCACCCCCTCCCTTAATTGTGCAGTTTCCAAGCCCAAATGAGTACTCTTCCTTCATGGGTGACTTCTCGACGGCTACTGGAATAGCAACTTTCACAATGATGTTGCTAAGCCAATGGATTTTTGACAAATATGGGTGGGGAACGGCAGCCAAAATTACACCCACAGTCCTACTGCTCACAGGAGTGGGTTTCTTCTCTCTAATTTTGTTTGGTGATCCGCTTGCACCTGTTCTCACAAAGTTTGGGATGACTCCACTTTTAGCAGCTGTATATGTGGGTGCAATGCAAAATATCTTCAGCAAGAGTGCCAAGTACAGTTTGTTTGATCCTTGCAAGGAAATGGCTTATATTCCTTTGGATGAGGACACCAAGGTTTGAAATTTAACTTGCCATTCAGTTTTAGATTGGAGTTTTTTTCATATATTAGTTGTGCTTGAAATAAATTGAAATCTCTGTACTTGATTTTTTTTAAACATAAACGAGATGCACAAAACTTCACGTTTAAACTTGAGATTGCAATCGACCAACTTCAAATTTTCTTCTCAGAGCTGTTCCTTTTTGCCCTTTAAATTTGACCTTAGTCCATTCATTTCTTGGGTCAGGTTAAAGGGAAGGCTGCTATTGATGTTGTCTGCAACCCGTTGGGGAAGTCTGGAGGCGCTTTAATTCAGCAGTTTATGATCCTAACTTTTGGGTCACTCGCAAACTCAACTCCATACCTTGGAGGTGTACTTCTTGTGATTGTTCTTGCATGGTTAGGGGCTGCCAGGTCTTTGGATACCCAGTTCACTGCATTGCGGCGAGAGGAAGAGATTGAGAAGGAGATGGAAATAGCAGCTGTGAAAATCCCAGTCGTGGCTGAAAACGAAAATGGAAATGGATCACTTGTAGGTGGCTCAGCCCTGAATCCAACTGGGGGTGATTCAACCACCACTTCATCCGAAACTTCATCTCCTCGCAATGCATGATGAAAATGTTCCATTACTCACAGAAAAAGGAGGAATGAGCAAAAGATTACTAGAAGGATTTATCAGGTGGTTTGTTGGTTTTAGGATTGTACGATCTATAGAAAAATTCCTGGTAGTAGGTTTTTTTTCCTTTGATTTACAAAATAATCAGAACCCAAGCAGTTTTTCTGTATCATTTGATTGTCCCTGATGAATCAAGATTATTACTTTCATTCATTCTTCCTGATAGATTAATCAGTATCTTGATTGTATCAGCCAGTAAAGCATTTTTAAAGCATGTTTGGTTTGTGAGAGTTGTTACAGAAGTTATAGGTGGTGCAATTGTTTCTTATGGAGCTCGTCTGATTTGGTTGGGAAGTTACTGACATTCATATAACACTATCCAGTATAAGTTGCAGATCCACATCGTATCTTGTATCTAATCTTCATCCTGATTAAGCTAAAAATGCAAAGCCCTTGCTTTTCATTATGCCCATGTCCTAATCCGTGTTGGCAAATGTTCATATTTGTCTTTAGCAAGTCATCCTAGTCCTAAAGCTTCCCATTCCAACCGATTTGTGTCTATTGGTAAGTTGGCTACGTCGTAGAAGAGCTGAAACTGCACTTTCTGATCAAACAAGAAGCTGTAATTGCATATGACACAATCCATATTATACACACAAATTGAGCAAAAAAAACCTTAAATTGCACACTCTTATTCAGCTAAAAGAGTGAGAGAGAGCAAACACTCTTTTAACTAAAAATGAAAACTGAAGAGAATAGAATGCATAGACACACTGTAATTACATCTTCACTGCTTTTTTAATTGTCTTGATAGATGATTTGAAGAAGTTGATTCCCGCTGCACGATCTTCATTGCCTCCATCATCATCAATTACCAAGGGCTTCTTCCCTTTGTGATCTCCCTTTCTTATACCTAAGAACACAGATGGAGAAGATGGGATTCGTGGGAATGACCTGGCACTTTCAGACCTCACAAGGCCCTTTTCCTTCCCGCTCTTCTCCCTTCTCTCTTTTCCTTCAAAGCTGTTACTACTTCCCACACCTTTACCCACAGAAGTGACCTCCTTTGCATTACTTTTTCCCTGGAAATATTCGGTAGGGAGGGTTCTTTAAGGGTGTTTTTCTAGCTTCAATATCAACAATTTCTTTTCTTCCCTCACCATCTTTTTCTGGGGTCATTTGCTGGTTGTTTAAGAGTGCCACAGCTTCCATCTCAACAATCTCTTCTTTCTGTTCCCACCGTTATTCTTCTCTTGTATTGTTTGCTGGTTGTTTTCCTCAAGATCCTGTTTCACACCTTTGTCTTCCGATTCTGGAAATTTTAAAATTTCATTCTCATTTCGCGGGTATTTGAGATTCATCTTTCTGATTATTTCATCAGTCCTGCTAGTTTCATTTTCCTCAACTAGTTGAGGAATTTGGTCAGTGCCTTCTTGTGTATTCTCCAACAGCATTTGAAGCCACTTCTCTACATTTCCTTTCCCACGCTGCTTTCTGCTTTCTTCATCCTCCACTGGTTCTGGTTGATGAAGGGCCGGAAATTGAATGTTGTATATATTGCCTTCTAATTCCAACTTTTGAAAATTTTCCTTATTTTGTTTTCATCCTTCTCAGTATCCCTGGATTTACCGTTCTCATCAGGCTTACCTCTGCTAATATCGGTCGGTGCCCCTTTCCCTCTCTCTTCTATTTCTTCTTGCTCTTGCTGTTCATTTGGAGATAGCCTGCTTCAGATGCTTTATGCTCCTCTTCCAAGAACACTCTCAATTCCTTGTGTAATGGGGTAATCGACTTGATTCCAGGTAAAAACAGGACAGTCTTACCATCTTTCTTCCCATTGTAGGATCATTCTGTTGCCTTATGTAGATGTGTTCTTGGCTTGCTTGCTGGCAAATATAAAACTGTCCTGTCATCTTTCTCTTCGAATAAGAAATCATCCATTCTGGATCTCTTCCTTGCTTGCTCCCATTCGGGTCTTATCTGTTTCTCAAGCTCATCCCTTTGTTTAAACTTTGTGTGGAGTTCTCTCTCTGAGGAATCGCAAATTGCCTTCTGAGCTTCAAGTCTTGCGATGAGAGCATTGGATGCTGCCTGATTCAACCTCAATTGTTCCTTATAAATGACACTCCTGCAAGAAAAATTGTAGCAATAATCAAATTACTGAATTCCACCACAAACTGTCATTGATCAGTATTCTGACACAAAACATGGCTTTTATAATCATACTGGTGCATGGCGTCTCGAATCATCTTTTCCAGGATTGCTCTATATGAGGATTGTGACTCTGCTAGCCTGCGATGCTTTTCAGCATGTCTTCTTCGTTTTATAAGCACCAACTCCAAGTCTTGGATGGTAAGTTTCTCCTCTTCTGTCTTTTGCTTCAACTCACTCACTTCATCATCCAATTTCTGAATTTCTGCCTGCATCTTAGCTGTTCCTTCTCTTTGTCTGAGAGAATCTCTAGCCATGACAATGGCCTGATAAGGGTTGCTAACCATGTCTGGGTCTTCGTTTTCTTTTGACGCACCTGCTTTTAATTTTCTTGCAGCTGCCACAAACCATTTGAAAACAACAAAATAAGAAAAATTTGTGGCCAGTCAAGTTTCAAACAGTTCTCAAACAGATTCAAGTATTTGATCTTCTTTACAAACCTAATATAGGGGAGTTCGACCTTGGCCTTCTGTTGATATCCAGGGATTTCAAAGCTGATGAAGAATCATAAGATTCCCTTCGAGATAGAACAATGGCAGCCGGAGCAAGGCCTAATTTTTCTTTTGCTTCACTAAAATGTCGAGGGAAATTATGCGAGTTTGCTGTTTGTGAATCATTCAGTTCTTCACTTTCACCATCTGAAAACAACAATGAAAATGCCCTCTGCCTGCCAAATTGTGAAAAAAAAAAAAAAAAAAAATCACCCACTACAACTGTGTATCTCGAATAAAAAGTAATCAGAGGATAGGAAAAGAAAATGCCCAACCTGAAATCTGAGTTTGAAGAACTAAAAATGGACAAGAACTGGTTTACTGATATACCCACTTGGAGATCCCACCATGGAATGAGAAATTCCAGCGTGTTATGCTTCTTCTTGCACACTTGCCACTGTAGTATCCTTAGATTGCTTGGTACAGTCAGTCCTCCCCTGCATTTCCAACATAAAAGGAACCAAAAGTCACTAGTACTACGATACAGACAGAGACAAGGATCACGATCTCTTCCGTTACACTTACTTTCAATTTCACATAATGGTAGATCACTCGGTGAGTATGGTTGAAGAGCCACTTATAAATAGTGTGTCTCACTTGAGCACTTGATAGGTGATTTACCATTGGGAGAAATTGAGTGAAAGTACAATAGGGAGGATCTCAACCTCGGAGAGATTTATAGATATTGATAGATAGAATTCATATTTACTTGAGCAAGGGAACCAGTGATCAATGTCCCAAGCAAGAGGCGAAGCTGAATCGGCATGGTAATAAAGAACATGCCATTTGGGTCTACTCGAAAAATCACAGGAT